GCCGTCGGAATCCACCGGCGGCGCCAATCGAGGCACTTTCAGCAAATTGTGCCGCCATTGTCGCGAACGACATAGGTACACAGATCTGCCGCCTCCGCCACCGAAAACTGAACGGAGATGGTCCTGCCTCGTTGGCTGCCCTGAATCGGGATGGATTGCCGCACTCGTCTCGCCAGAACCGAATGGCGAGACAGGCGAAAACTGAAAAAAAAAACCCATTCCCCGTTTCCCTTATGTGGCTGTAGTTTGTGGGAAATATGAAAGAAATGATCGTGGTGGCGTTCACACGGCGGTAACTGGTGGTGATGTGATGACGGCGCCCAGAAACCGGACGGCCACCGTCGTTAATTCACGTTGATTTGGAATTTCAGATTTGTTCTTTTAAACCTTATAATTGTTCATCCCAAGGGTTGAACTGGAGAACCATAATTCAATTGACGAAGAACCATAATTCAATTGATTAAATTAAATAATGAACTTAATTCAAAACAAAATCAATCAGATTATAGCCACTAATTCACGAAACTTAAATTTAATTCCAAATTGCAGATTTTCAATTAATCCTCCTACTTCGTTAAATTGTGCAGTATGAATCATCAAGCTTACATCAACCCATAATTCAAGAAATCAAATAAGCATAACATCGAAATAGGGAAATTTAACAAACATAATATTCCCGATAATTCAAGACATGGTGGCTCTGATACCACTTGTTAGAAATTTTATCGTACATACATACGAATTCCCAAGAACCAACATGCTTGAATCAACGAGAATTAAACCTAAACATAAACACGGAAGCGTACCTTACATCATGTAATCGAATCTTCGAATCTCCACCGGATTTGGGAGAGGTCTTCCAAAGAATCCGCAGTTCCTTATTTTTCTCTCTAACGATGGATTTTAGAAGAGACGGAATGATTACGTTTCTTTGGGGACCACGACCCTTTATATAACTGTAGAGTCCAGTTATCTTACAACTGTGATTCAGCCCCATCAATAAATCACAATTAAACCCTAATTGTCTCTACACATTAGACCCATAATTATAGTCTAATACCCACAAGTCCAACCCAATAATCTTAATTAGATCACAATTAATTTGGACTATCTTTTAGATAGCCATACACATTTACGTCACATATGTGAGCCCACATAATTATTGAAATAATTCCAACATAATCAACTTATTGCCAACCGTCATTTCCTCATTAATAATAACCCCAAATTTCGCCACGTCTTTGATTTTCAAGGCAGTGATCGACTCATTGATCATTTTTGGAGTTCAATTATGTTTGTTAGTCCCTGCAATTTTTTCTTGAATATTTATTTTTATTTCCTTGTTTTATAATTTAATAATTAATTGCATGCTGATCACAATAAATCGTAAAAAAAATGTTATAAATAAAATGTATATTTTGATTCATTACACATTTCGGCCCAAGTCTTAAGACATTGTGCTATTTCCTGGCCATGCTATTCCACTCTCGCTGTTTGTGGTTGTTTGGATGCAATGGGATTTTATCGTTCATTTTGACAATTATTTATGGTCGTACGCAGATTCTGATCGAATATTAATTAATTGGACATATATAACAGAATGCTGGTCGACATCTGTGTAGTAGAGCAGATGAAACGATTGTCGATTCTCATTTGGTTTAATTTGTCTCTAGATAAACAGAAATGGTGTTTCGTTGTCTGATTTCTATATACCCGGTTCCCACTGTAGGTGTAGAAATACAAAGATTGTTGTGCTGGATTCTTGTTTGATTCTTGCAATTACAATTTTTAATAGTTTTGTATGATTGAATGTAATACACAACGGAACATAATAATTTTCCAATGATTCTCTTTATTTTAGTAGAGCTAATTATATATGTCAGTGGTTGTATGCTCACTCACATTAAATCAATCTTAAATTTTTATTTTTATTTTTGTTGCAAAATTTGTGTTTAATACCGTAGTATGTAAATTGTACAGCATAAAATATATGTTATATGTCTATACTCTATAGTATAATTCTAAATCTTCAAATAAGCGAATTTGATACACCTGAGTCTTGATCAGCAACTTTTAAATTAATTAAGTAATATATGAAATTAATTAGAACAAAATAATTGAATTTGTATCGAGATTAACAAACGAAATGTGTTAATTAATAATAACCACAGCTGTTTGACGGTGGTGACTCGAGTTTCTATATTTGTGAGACTCGTGCACAAATCAAATAATCTATTGACCCCTTAATTAAATTAAAATTACATTTGTTTTCCGAATATTTTATTATAATTTATAATATAGATATACATGAATCGTAGTTGATTTCCCCCTATCCCACAGACATCACCATTTATGCACTCTTTAAACAATTGTCTAATTAAATAATTAATTTAATTTGATGAAAAATTCCAACAAAGGGAACTTTCCATCAAACCTGCATGTGTAACGAGATCTCCCCCTTCTATATATATATATATATATAATGAGAGAGAAAACGAAAAATATAAACAAACATAATCTCATAATATATTCAAGAAATTAACAGTACCACTTAAAATGGCTAAATACTTTCTTGTGTTGATCTTCTTCCTCTTTGTAAACGCCAACTTAACTATAGCAGAGGCGGCTGATAATGAAGAAAAAAACACGATAATTTCAAGAAAACTTGGAAATAATTTTATTACTACTTTAACAAGGCTGAGCACTGCCGAAGCGCCTCAAGCAGTGCAAAACGCCGACGTTTCAGGGGAGGAAAATGGGCCTTCTGCAGCTGCAGCACAAGAAGAACAGATGCTCAAAATCAACCACCACAACCACCATGGCGTGGATAAGTCAATCGCCGGCGGAGGGGTGATTCTTGGTGGTTTAGCCACAACTTTTCTGGTGACTGTTTTCTGTTACATACGCGCCACTGGTAGGAAAAATGCAGAGCCTGCCTCCCCTACTTATTCTTCTGATGCAAGCAAAAATGTTACTTCATCAAACTCACCTGCAATTTGTGCATAATTTTGATATAGATTATAGACAAAAGTACATGTTTTTTCGGTTTTTTTGGTATATGTACAAAATTAATTTTCATCAACGATGATGTTATTATTAGTGTCCAAGTTAAGTTTGAAATTTCTTGTTAGTAGAAAACCTGTTAATTATTAAAAATAATTCACGAATGGGCATATTCGATACTGGAGAATAATTTAGAGTCCATTGTTTGAGGTGAAGTTCTCGACTCATGGCCCAATCAGAAGGCCTTTCTCCTCAGCCCATCACAAAATTCTCTAAAAGAAAATTAGCTATTTATTTCTGGACTTCCCTAATTCAAAATTAAAAAAAAAAATACAGAAACAATCTCTACATAATTATTAACGTATCAAATGTATTTGAGTTTTTCTTTATATATTTTTTTAATTTATTTATTATTTAATTAATAAAAAGTATCATACTCATACTAACTTAATTTTATGTTCACCCGATAGACATAATACAATTTGACTAACTTAATTCTATATGAAGGATTATATTCTAACTACATTAGTATATTCTAAAAGGAAATTAAATGCTTTGGTGACATTATTGCATCGTACCCACAAAATAGATAAAAGACATTATTTTTTTCATCATTTGTAGCACAAAAAGAAGAAAAAGTGAAGCACTGCGGATAAGCTAGACAATGAATATAAGGTTCACTTTGTTGTGATAAAATAATATTAATAAATGGTGAATATATAGGTCAATTTTATAGATCACCGGTGGTTGGGTTCACCGAATTGGGATAGGATCATCATAATTCATCATAGGATATGACCCCACACACACATGCACACACACTCCACGTGGAATAACAAAGGACAATTATATATATGGGAGTTTAGATAATGCTTATGTCAAGTCTTATACACCGGTGCTTTTTAATTATCGATGTAGTATGCGATTATGTGCAAATCAAGGGTTATAAATCACCCAAATTAAAGTATATAGAGAGTATGCGCGGCTAATGACGGAGCCAGTATATGGCCAAAAGGGGCCATGGCCCCCTAATATTTCTCAAAATCATGTATAATAGCATATATATATATGATCACTACATCTATATTGTGTTTGATGTGTAGTTAGTTGGCATGTTCGTTTTCATTATTGTAAAGCTTAACCATCTTATCATTAATCATCCATATTAAGACAAGGAGATAATTGATTAATGGATACCATAATAAGAAAAAAATGACAAATTTTGTAATAAAAGTGCCGATTTTTGTTTACTTAATTTGGCAAGTGTATGACTAGACGATTACGAAACAAAACTAGATTCATTGAACCGATGTAAGTAAGCGGTTCAAGATTCATCGGACTTGGCAAATTCCAAGGCAGTAAGGCCCATTGTATACATATGATTTTAAGATGGTAAAAATTAATTATTAAAAAAAGAAAAGGGTCAGAATTAGGGTTCCAACTTCCAACAAGGAAAGCGACAGAAGTAGGAAAAGGGTAGAGATGGTAATTATCCATAAAGTATTCGTGGGCAATTGAAATCCTGGTCCCATATCGAAGATCCATATCGAAGATCGGTTCTTCAACGTGGCACCTCCAACTCGGATTTAATTAGCAAAAATAAGAAAAATAAAAAAAAAGAAGTTAACGGAACAGTAAACGAAGTAACAGACCGTCAAACGGAAATCTAAAAAAAAGAAAAAGAAAAATGAAAGAGAATAAAGAGACATGCAAAACTTGGAGATAATTTCGTCTTGGGCTTCTCTTTTTTCTTTTGCTCCTTTTTATTTATTTATTTAAGTATATAATCATATTTCATAAATCAATCACGTCTCTTGCTCTGCTTTTCCTTTTATTATTTCTCTATATATATTTTGTTTGATTACATTTTTTTCTTCTTGCTTATGTCAGACTGTCAGTAGATTATCTATCGGCTGTTATATTTTATTGGCGTTGGCTGTATTCAAAGGGTTCTATTTAAACCCCAGACTCTTACACAGACAGACAGAGAGAGAGAGAGAGAGAGAGAGAGAGAGAGAGAGAGAGAGAGAGAGAGAGAGAAATGGAAGGAGGGAAAGAATCGGGGTCTTCATTTACCTCAGATCTTTTCGGGGCAAAGGGTTCTGCTCCATCTGCTGGAATTTTTGATTCTATTTTTGCGCCACCTCCTCCTAGGGTACCTACTTCTTATCTTTTCAGAGCACGTTGAACTTTATTATTGTAATACGTCTGTGTGTGTGACTGTGTGTGATTTAAGATTGTTGTGTTGGTATATTAGGTCTCGGGAGGAGGGGTATCAATATTGCATCTGTCGGAAACTGAGAAAAAGAATGACTCTGCATCAAGGCAACCTACTGGTGTTAATGCCAAATCCAGTGTTTCAGGTATGTTAACTGTGTGTAATTTGAGGTGGGTGTGAGGGGTAAATCAGTAAATAATGATGATGTTGTTTTCAGGTGGAGAAAAACAAAAGTGGAGCAGAGGAAACAAGGACGAAAAGAAGATTAGTAGTTCATATGAAGATTATCAATACAGCTCATCAATATACTATGGTGGTCAAGATCAAGATGTCTATTCTCAACCCAAGCTTAATGCTGGATTAACCACTGTTAGTTACCCTAAATCACAATTTAATTATTAATTTGGCTTTTAATTAAACTTTAATTATTTGCTTTGCTGTATGAATATATTAGTTCTGTAAAGATGTGGGAGAAGATGACTCAGCCAGTGCGTCCAGGGGCAACTGGTGGCAGGGTAATCTTTGTTTGTTCAACTGTTTTTTAATTTATAATTTTTTTTTTCCTAATATTCCAGTAGCTTATAATAAACAATTAATCTTACAATTGTTTCATATTTTTTTTTCTCTTGTGCAGGATCTCTTTACTACTGAGTACTGAAGCATATGTATATATATATATACCATGCATGAAGCATATATATGAAGAAGATATGCATGGCTGCAGTTGTAGCTAGATAAAGATGGCTCTAGTCACCTTTGCCTCTGTAATTATATGTATAAGTATAACTAGTGATTTCGTGCTTTTCGACTGTTGAATATATATGTAACATTTTGCTTCATGTATGTCTAATTGTCTATTAATATATATGTTCTCTTCAACCTTTTAAATTTTAATTTGACTACTGTCTTTCATAGTTATCACATGTTTTACACCACATGCAGGGATATCCAATATTACAAATATATACATAGTATACAAGTCAAAAGTTTATTGTACGTAAATCTTCATTGATGAAACGGACTACAGAGTATTTGTTGTTGTTTATGAGAATGGATTTGGCTGCTGCTTATTGTCAATCACCAGTTTCTGGGGACTATATTTAGTATTTTGTATTTCTTCAGATTATTTTTCTGTGGATAACATAGTCTTTGTTGTCTGGGATATAGGCTATACATAATTTCGATGTATGAGACTAAACAAACAATATCTTCCCTGATATATTATATATACTGCAGAATAATTAACTTAAATTTATATTCAGTCAACAATTGTGGTTGTCTTCTTGCATGGTAGACCAGAATCTAGAAATAAATGTATGTTTTGGGGCAGATTTTGTACGTTTTTGTATGTAGTTTCTGTTCTGTCTACCAAAAAAAAAAAATCATCGAATTAACAATACCAACAGTATAATAGAGTGTATAAAATATTACAAAAAAAATAAACGCCGTTGCCGGGGATCGAACCCGGGTCACCCGCGTGACAGGCGGGAATACTTACCACTATACTACAACGACTTATTGTTTGTAATTCTCGAACTATGAAACATCATGAAAGAATGTCTAAATATATATAAATGCATCATTATTACTTGAATATTTTTCTGCAAATTAATAAAAATTAATTGATCAAAAAAACCGGTGCTCTCGCTCTCATCTAAAAGCTGAACTTGTATTGGTGTTAAAATAGGCTCAGTTCATATGCATGAAATCACCTTAAAAATACTCTTTCAACATATACATGGGAAAAGAAAAAAAATACAGAAACAAATTCCCAATGCATTCTGTTCACTCATCCTCAACTAACTCATGCATTCATGGGCCAATAGCCTCTTCCAAACCGCAGGAAGATTCCACCGATGGAGATCCCGATATTTCTTTAACTGTACTTGAAAATGAATCATCCGAACTCCTCACTAAATTCCTGTTCAGACCAAATCCATGAAGGGAATGTTTGCTGCTCTCTATATACGGTGATCTTTCAATATTGTATGGACTCGAAAAGGCCGTCTTGTATGGAGTAGTAGTCGAGATTGGCAGTGCAATTCCAATGCTTTTTTGTGCATTAATTATTCCAACCTTCGAAATTGACACGAGTTGATCCGAATGTTTTGATAAGTCATCCACATAGAGAAGGTCGTCTATACGTGCCACTATATTGAACGCCAGGCTCTCAAGTACTCTCGAGTAACTCTCCAATATTGATTTTCCCACATCCTAAGAATTAAGAAAATCAAGAATATTGATATACGTTAGACTAGTGAAGTGTGTAATTTATAAAAAAAAAAAAAAGAAATAACAAAAAAGAAAAATAAACCTTGTTATGTTGGATTTTGCTCGTGTCTAAGGTGGTCTGAGGAAGACCAGGAAACCGTTGCTTCAAGCAAAGCAGAAGGGTTTCAGCTCTGTCCGCCGCCAGCTGTACCCTTTTGTCTGAATCACTCACAAAATCCTTAACCATTTCCCATGATGACTTTGAATTATTGGACCTATTTGTTGTTTGTTTCGGGATCAGTTTTCGTCTCCATATGTAAATGGAGGCCTCCACTCTGTTTGCAATCTCTAGAGCATGATTATCAGACGACAAATCGAGGCAGTCAAGCAAACATTCCGGAGAAAATTGTTCCGAGTTATTAATGTATCGATGTATAAGATCCCCCAAGCTCGTTTTTCCATTCTGCAGGCCAAAAAAATTCGGTCCGTATTAATTAATAATTTCTTATCGCATTAGTGTTTCAATATATACATCATACCTTTGGGAGAGCTTCTAAGTATGAATCGGGGATATCCATTTCAGCTAACGTGGCGCTGTTGATAGCCATTACAGCTTTAAGGATCTGGTTAGTGGAATCACGTTTGTGTTGCAGCATCTTCCTAGATTCTTCGCTGAGGCCACCTGGCGAAAGACGAGGAACTGGGAGCCACCATTTGTCTTCTTGACTCGGAAGAGGTTTCCGGAAGGAGGAAGATCCGCCAGCTTCCGATGCTACTATTCCTTGGTCAACATACCAAAACTCACAACTCTCAAAACTGTCCAATATTTCCTGTAATTAAGAAGATTAATACATTTAGAATATATCACATGTCTTAAGATAAAGAAATCGATGAGGAATAGTTCGGTATCTTACAAGTAGCATATTGTCTAATTTACGGAGTGCGGGGAGATTAATGTACAGATCTGAACGGGGCCTCGAAGTCATCACCTAAATCAAGAAAACGGGATAATTAAGTCTATGATGCTCGATTTCATGCCAACAAGGGTAATTTAGGAAGTATTGTTGTTTGTCTTAAATTGATCGACATAGATTGCAAACTAATCATAGTTTTACCTCAAGTTTGGTTCCATCCGGGAATGTCTGGCAAGAGGGTATAAATTCGACAATGTGATCACTAACACAGAGAAGCCATTCCATTTCTCTTCGCCACATTACTTTCTTTTCGAGCTGTAGAGGCTCTAATCTCCAAATTTGTCCAAAAAGTGTGGCTAACACAATAAAAATAAAAAACGGCACGTCAAACAACGAAACATTGTCAAGTTAAGCAAACTAAAGAACAACTAAAGTAGAGCTAACAAAAATGAATTATTACCACAAAGATTAGTAATAGCATTGGAAATAGCGAGAGCATTGCAAACACCATTGCCGTAACCAGACATGTCCTCACCGAGCAGCAATTTCGAAAATCTTTCCTTCATCATCTCAGATTCTACACTCACAT